CAAATTCGCTTGTTGGCTATTTGACTGACTGGTTCGTTGTTGTGTGTTCGTTCGTCGCACGCTTTGACACTTCAACTAATCGGATACAACGTAAAATAAACAGGCATCTCATCTCCGCGCACCGCAGAGCATTTTTTGTGGATTTTTCAAACGATGGCATTTGTTGTTTTCTTCCCCTTCTCTCTGGCTTTTTTTTATCACCCAGAAAAATCTAAACATTTGCATTATGGTCTTATCAATAACTGGAAGAGGTGTAATCAGTTTATGATATAGATATTGCCACATTCGCAGCATTTTCGGCGCATATTTATACGCACAGCGAACACTTTATTCCAACATTTCACATCTTCCGTTCAGCCGATATATACCTTTTCACATTCAGCGGCGTCGTTTGAATTCGTCAAAAACAGTTTAACCGATTTTTTTCCCTAAATAATAATAATCGCACTCTTGTTGCTCCGAAACAGTTTAAAATAACAATCGTTTAATATGTGCCAAACTACAGACGAACATGAAGTGGAAAATGGTGCGAAATGTTTATTTTTTACATTTTGGATTAAAACGGAGAATTTCTCTATGGGAGAAAAAAAATATTTGGATTAGAAAAAAGAAAAAAAATTCAAATAAAAGGAAAATGGACAAAATCATTATTAAATAGAAATTTTTCATTCGAAAGGCCGCAGAGACTCAGATATTCGACCGAAAATTCGAAATGATTTACCTCCGAGGAAAAAAGGATATTATATGGATGAAGCCATTTCCAAAACCAGTAAGTCATTTGATTCTTGAAATATTAGTGAACAGTGAACTGAATAAAATGACAAATGAAAAACGAAACAGAATTACAACAAAAAAAAAACGATGTAAAATATGAACTTTATTTTTAAAATAACAAGGAAAATGAACAGAAATGATATAATTGTCGAAAAACAACAGTGTTCAACCAGAATTTTTTTTTTTTTTTCAAAAAACTACAATGATTCATTCATATACATATAAAAAATATACTATCGTAAACCATCCAAATTGTAACATAGTCTAAATTGTAACAATTGCACAAATAGACTAATTTTCTGCAAAACTTTGAAGGGTAACTGTTGTTTTTTTATATCATATTTGAAAAGAATACGAAAAAAAACTTCCCATATGAATATTGACTTATTTGTATTTTTTTTTTAGAAAAGTGGTTTATTTTGAGACTATGTTACGATTTGAACTATGTTACAATTTGGATGGTTTACGATATATAAAAAAATAACGAAAAATCGTTCTATTAAAATTAGAGTTCGGTTTCTTCAACTACGTCATAATTTTTCTGAGTGGCATGATATTGAATGCAGTGATGTTGGAAACATGTGGTATGGCCTTTGTGATTCCCGTTTCACAATGTGATTTGAAATTGAGTACGAGTGAAAAAGGGATTTTGGGCGCCGTTTCATTCTTTGGAATAATTTGCTCATCACATTTGTGGGGCTACCTAGCAGATACCAAAGGCCGTCGCTGCGTTATTCAACCGACTCTTTTCGTAGCATTTCTTTTGTCTGTCGCTGCTTCATTCGTTCAAAATTTCTATCTTTTCGCCACATTACGATTTCTCAATGGATTTTTGTAAGTTGCTATTTGCATATTTAATAAATTAAAGTATGTAATTTACGAGTATTGAAATCAATGATCAACAAGTGTCGATCGTGCGAATCAATCATAAAGTCTATGTGTATCACTAGACTATAATGGAAATGAATTCATTTGGTTTATCATAAAATAGCATCTCCGGTTCATCGGCTACGATTTATGCATATTTGGGTGAATTCCATAACAACGCACAACGAGGTCGTGCCATAATGGGATCAGCATTAATCTACGGTGTTTCGTGCCTGTTGTTGCCATTGCTCGCGTGGTTCGTCATTAATCAAGACTGGCAGTTTTACGTACCTTTCATTGATATCACATACAAACCGTGGCGTTTCTTCCTTGTTGTCTGTAGTATTCCTGGATTCCTTTCGTCGTTGATCCTATTATTTTTGCCAGAGAGTCCGAAATTCGTTCTCGGTCAAGGTAAACAAATGGAAGCTCATAAAATTTTGCAAAAAATGAACCGATGGAATAACGGCAAGAAAAACGAACTCGAATTATTTGAAATTTATGAAGAGACTGAGTCAATCGAAAATCGACGTCGTATTCTGGAAAACAAAAACAGTCGATTCCCATTGCTGAAATCAGTTTGGATTCAAACAGCTCCTTTGTTCAAACCTCCTCATTTGTCATCGACTCTTTTGATTTGCACTATTCAATTCGGAATTTATGCTACGAGCAACGGATTTTACATGTTCTTCGCCGAAATCTTGAACAAAATGGCATCGAATTTGGACAGTTTTACTGAACAACGTATGGCCATGTGCGATATTATCAACATGAAACCGGCTAATATGAGCGCAATCCTACTCGACGAATATGACGATGGAGAATGCATAACAAAACTCGAGTTGGCAACGTTAGAGCAAGGAATCGTTTTGGAAGTTTTGTTTGCCGTAGGCTTTATGGTCATCGGACTGATCATTAATAAAGTTGGCAAATTCCCCATTTTATGTGAGTATGATGATCATATTGTAATCAAATTATTACGAGCTTAAGTGAATATTAAACAAAAAATGTTTTCGTTTGCCCCGGAAATAGTTTTCATTTTGATAGTTAGTGGATCGAGTGGCATTGCTTGTATGCTAACTAATATACCAGTGGTTCAGGTGTACTTACTTATTACATTGATGTGTTCAGGCATCGCAGTGAATATTGTCAATTCGGCGACCGTTGAACTGTATCCAACCGCTTTGAGGTGAATTACTATTATTTGATTATAATAGTTCAATGATTATTGGACGAAATTATGAACTTTTTTTAATCAATTCAACATTTTTTCCCGCTAACAGAGCAATGGCAATCTGTATTTCATTGATGTTTGGAAGGTTGGGAAGTGTAGTTGGCGCTTCCATCAGCGCTATGCTACTGGACAAACATTGTGAGACTGCCTTCTATATATCTGGCACAAGTGTCCTAGGTAAGTCTAGCAAATTGGCATTCAGTAGCCAATTAGTTCTTTTGCTCACTTCATTTTCGCTTTTGTTCGAAACGAAATTTACATGATCTAATATTTTTTTCTCTTCTTTTTCTCTAGCTGTGGGAGTGCTAACGTACTTTATCCCGAAAATTCATGAAAAGGTCGACAGTCGAAAATCAATCGTACAAAACGAACCACGTCTCAGTGTCATATCATTCAGATAGGCTGTGTTATTAGTAATTTAAATGCGATAAAAAGAAACTATGACACAAATTATACTATGAATACTATGGAGTCAAAATGCAAGGAAACCCAATTCATTCTCAGCTATATTTTGTGTGTGCTGTGAACATTAAATTATGTTCAAAAGTATTAGAACATTTAGATGTATACCATAAGAAATTTTAGATATTAAGTATCAAAACTTCCACTGTGAGCCTATTTAAATGTATATTTACCATTTAGTAATAAATTTTAATTGATAATATTTTGTTTTGGATAGACTGCCAATAGACCCATTTTCACGATGATCTCCAACAAAATAAACAAATATCAATCTAGTTACTTCAACGTAATCCCAACCATGTTTTCCATCTAAATGTATTTCAAGGTTTTGACGTTTCCTTAATCGAACATGAACAGCTTTAATTTCTCTTCTTACGGTTGTGAAAGTTCAAATTCCGAGGTATTGATTCATAAACAAGCGAAATTTAATCATCATCCCGAGCTATATCTCGGAATGTCGCAAATGGCAACAGAAGATCCGTGTAAATAATCATCTGCATGTCATTTTATGGTCGACTGAGGAAAATAAATCTGTTGGCGATAAGATTTTTTCTTGTTCCAAATTAATTACGATACATTTTAAAACGAGATTCTGCTAACGGATCGACGGTTCGTGCTTCATCTAGAAAATATTTTACTGACGTTAGATTAACAATTCATAATATGATTTGAAACGTGATCATAAAACTAAGATTCGTAACAGGCCGATAGTTCCAACAAATACTTGCGTAAATCCACAATTGAAATGTGGAAATGAAAATTTACGATCTATTTTTATAGAACGTATTTCAAACAGGAATTCTAAGAGTATGTAAATATACAATAAAAAATTTGTTAAAACTGCATGATAAACACTGATAATGTAGATTTACATAGATTCTTTGTACATTTTCTCCTTCATTTACCCAACCAAAAGCAAATAAAAAAATTCACCATAAACAATATTGATATGATTAAACAGAAGTAAGCGCTTACGGTTAGATAAATTGATGGGTAGTACAGGGCTGGAATTCTAAGTCATTCCACCAAAATCATTCGGAATTATTTTTTTCGTACATAAGACCATATTGGAGTGAAAGAGAGAGATTCCACTATTTTTCAGCGTTCCACCGGAATTATTTCTCACACATTCCACTCTTCCTTGAGTTATCGGAATAATTCCGGTGGAATGCTGAAAAATAGTGGAATCTCTCTCTTTCACTCCAATATGGTCTTATGTACGAAAAAAATATTTCCGAACGATTTTGGTGGAATGACTTAGAATTCCACCCCAGGTGACGAGAAAAAAAATGATGCGCGTCATGAATAGAAGAGCGTGAGCAGAGCTTTTTATGGTTTGTTTAGTAACGTGATGAAAATAAACAAGAACAAAATACAAATAGTATTACCGTCTAACAATTTTTAACACGCACTGTTTTTTTGGATCAGTTTGAATGTCAATGTTCTTCTATTTGCTCGCTTACTATGTATACCAATTATTTTTTCAATTTTCAGCAAAATCGGATTACATTTGAAAAATTTCAACTTATTGCTGTTTTAGCAAGTCTTTAGAAAACGCACTAAACTTGATAACTTTCTTATTTGGACGTGACACGGACAAAGTAATGATGTAGAAATATTTGTTTTGGGATCCTCTATCATCGGGCATTCAAACACTCAATGTTTTAACATGTGTTGCACGGAATAATCTGTTGTGGTGCACGATTTGATTATTTGATATTTACATAAACGAAGTGCAATCAAAAATCAAACAGGCACGGAGAATCGGCTGTATTGCTTGCTACCGAAATGGAAAATCCTGTTCCTTGATCGATCTCTCCACCTCAATGCAACGTGATACTTAATCGACGTGATTTCTGTGTGGACACCCACAATAAAATTCACTGTAACCAACTGTAACTTAACAGTGAATTGTCACAGTCACAGTGAGCATGCGAGCGGTTATAACGCATACATACATACATACACGTACACGCAGTAAGCTATTGAGCGTGCGTGTATGTATACGTTATACTCGTTCGTATGCTCACTGTGGCTGTGACAATTCACTGTTAAGTTATAGTGACTACTAAGTTAACAGCAAACTTCCTAGGGGGAATAGAAATGGAAAAATCCTGCATTCGAATGTATGCATACATTTAACACAGCGTTATATTGAAGTAATTACTACGACGGAAACGTTTGTTTTTTCTTCTTTGCCTTTGCTGCGACGTTTATTTAATTATCATTTTCCATTGTGATGTAGCGTGAACTTGTTTATCGGTAGAAAAAAAATTAATTATCGAATTTTATTTGTGTAACCTAGAATAGAAAATTCGCACAGGTATTCTATGAAGGCTTTTGTTGTTTTTGATAATCAACATTATTTCCTAGAGGAAAATTTTCATTTAGAAACACAGTAGGACAGGTGTTTTTTTTTGTCCCTGCCGAGATATTTGGACGGCTGAAAAAGGGCCTCAAATCATGAAGAACTGCATCATTAATTTTTGAAAGTTGGTAAGGTTTTGTCGTTTTTCGATATTTTGCGTTTCCAGTGTACAAGTCATTGTCAAATGAAATTGCATGCCATTTACTCCCATTATTAGTGGTTTTACGCATATGATTACTTCTACAAAAATGTTCAGCGGGCAATTCTACATGGAAATATACTTGCCAGATCCAAAAATTTCCAATGATTGTGTGAAATATGGTCAAAAATGTCCAAAACGCCACCATTTTTTTTCTCTCGAAAATATGGGGAGTCTTCTCAGTCGAAAACTCTTAAAAGTGACTTTTTGAGGTACCTCCCGAACAAAAGTGACATTTTTCATGGATTTTGCTATGAAATTATCGTGTTTAAATGCAAACGCTGAATTTAATATATTATCATTGAACTCGTAGGGATTCTCCAACTTGAGCTGAATCAAGATTTTTCATTGTCAATGACAGAAACGTTGGGATATATCAACATATTTATTTATAAATAAAAAGCACGATATTCAACGGTATGATATGATGATACGTCGTAATACTTTTTTTTATGTCGATATCAAAACGTATTTCCATGAAATATATGGATTGGATATGATGAACTTCTACCAGGAGACTTTGAAAGAATATACTCTTGTGAAATGTATACAATGCAGTTAATTTTAGTATTGATAACAACTCTACGGTATTTATAAGTTACGTACTTTGAATTTACTTTTCGAAATTTCATTTGGTGATTTTACTTACCTATCTCTGACCATCCGCCATATCAAGTGCACGTATCCATGATTTACTATACATTCATCTACGCATATCGTAAACGATCGATTCTACATAGGATGTTGAATCATTGCTGGTGAGAAAATTATTACACGTAGACCCTACGTCGCAGAGAGTGTCTATTATGTGTCTCGTTTAAGGTAGACTATTGGTTATCAGGGGTAAGTGTAACAGTATGCACAACGATTCGCCGCTAAATTGTTGTCATTCCAGATCAGTGTTAATGCACATGTTTGTAGAATTACGTTTCAAACGTTATTTTATTGTTGCCAAATCCAAATCTCGATTGTCTAGTATTTGCATTTGGATTAAATCGTCATGTTGATGGATTGCCAAGCGTAACATGACGACGATCATTTATCACCAGACTGTTATTGTATTATGATGCGTCCTGGCGTTTGATTTATTAATGCAGAAATAACAACCGCTGAAATGAAGTGAATTACGCACCAAAATGCGAAACTAGGAGAACAAAACGACAACACATCGCTCAAGGTTAGAGACAATGAGGCGTTTGTGTTTTTTCACGGTTCAGTGAAAACAGATGAAAGTGAAACTCGTTTTCTCGTTTGAAATTTGCTATCCACGATAAACCCGTGTTGTACAACTTGTAATATACACAACAAAAAGCAAAATGTACGATGAAAAGACGCTCGTGTTCGGTATGCTATTTTTACAATCCAAGATTGATTAACCTCATGTGATTACTATCGCACCGCAGTCTAATTGTTCCAAATGAGGTGTAAATACACTAATCGGTCTGAAGATTATTTTATTTCAAATGCTCAAATGGATGTCAACATATAATATTTCAGCGCTTAAAACGAATCGATTTTTGATTCGAACAAAAAATCGTCAACCGGTCTTCAAAACTATCGACGTCACATAGCATCTGCCGCATGCATAAAATACGATCAATATTTTTTTGTGCAATATAATCCAAATTGATTTTCGATTATAAAACGCAATCTCATGCCTCGTTTAAATTAACTTATGCAAATCGAATGGAGCGAAAGAATCACTGAACCGAACTCTAATCGAATTTGATTTAAAATATTTTGTGTCCATGAAAACAAATAGAATATGAAAAAATTAATTATTTTTTCTATCACTCAAATTAGGTGCGTGCGCGCAAATT